ATTCTCATTTTATGAACCGTGAGTAACTGTGACTATTAGGATTATTAAATGAGAGGTTCAGTTACTTATTTATTTATTAGAAAGTAGAAAGTTTTGTGTAAATACAAAGCCTGGGAATTTCTAAAGATAACTCCACCTTCATGTTTTTTTCTGAGGAAATGATTTGTGTCTATTCCAAACAATGATGCTTAACACAATTGAAAGTTGGCACATTTTTGGTAAACAACATTTTCCTGATAGTGTGAAGACTACTGTGTATTTCTTTCGCCAGATTTCTCAGCTTCATTTTGATCTGTAGGACATCAAAGTTTCCTCTATAGTATTATATTTATATCTCTAAAGAGTCTGGACAGAAAGGAATTTATTTTAATGGAAAATAAACAGTAATAAACAATAAGGGGGCAGCAGATGGCATGGCGGCTCAGGTGGCTGGATCCCACATGGCCAATTGCTTACAGACAAAAAAGTGACAGGTTACACACTGAATACCTGTAACACAACACGTTTGACATTTACATCTGCAGAAAGTATATTTCAAATACTTAAACTCAGGAGGCTAGAAACGGTAAGAACACAGCAAAACAAAACAAAGACAAAAGCAAAGAAAAACCTCAAAACAAAATATCCAATCACAAAACTACCACTCCAATCTCTGAATTATTCAGCCATAGGGAAAAACAAAAACTTCAACCAGCCTTTAGTGTTGGAATTATTTTTAAAAATTCTAACTTTCAACAAATCCATTTGACTGTTCCAGGGAAATTGTTCCATTAGCTCCCCTATGATGATTACACTTAGAAAAGAATGAAAGGGACTTTCTTTGCTAGCTGATTCGGAACAAATAGCTCTAAGCATCTTCAGTGAGCCCATTCTTTGAAACTTGAGATAACGTTTTTGACTTATATAGCAGTTCTGGTAGGATGAAGACCTTGATCGTGGAGATGGCGAAGAGCAAACATTTGTTGTGGCTTTGGCATATCACCAGTTGCTCATATCACTCATCTTAGGTTTCTTTAAGATATGTCACGCTTTCCAGGGAATCCTTCCTGACTAACCAACAGTCTTAGTGTCTGTCCTGATAAAATCCTGATTCCTTCCTGACTAACCAACAGACTTAGCTTCTGTCCTGATAAAATACTGATAGTGAAGACACATTAGTGATTTTTTCTATGAGAGTGGAAAAACATCAAAGTACATCATAAGATTCGGGGTTTGAAATACTCAAAAGAACCACAACACAGAACAAAACAAAAAACTAAAATTCATGATTTAGCTTACAGGGGTACTATAACCTATACTACAATCCTTGTGAGGTAGTTTTGCTCATGCTTTGCCAAGTGTCAGTCTGAAATATATAAGCAACACTGAATTGTAAGTAATGTTTTCTGTGGAAAATGCAACTCACTGTTTCAAAATATTGACATTCTTATATTTATGAATAATTACATAAATTATAATGTTTTTTATATATTAATTGTGTTGTTTCTTCCCTTGATCTCAGCCAAAGACAAAGTGATTATTTTATTCTTCATAGAAGAATAAATAGAATTTTGTAATTTGCAAGGGCATGAGTTGACTTAGAGAAAACATTGACACAGTGACAATCTATTCAGAAAACTATCAGTCGAATGAAAGTAGGCAGAAGTAATGCTTTCGGCTGAAATCTGTGAAATGATGCTAAATTCTGCAAGAGGTTATTCATAATGTTTTCTAATTAAAAAATCTTTTTGGTGTGTCCATAGTTATTTCCAATATAAACATTATTATTTTAATTAAAAATATATTAGAGGGTGTATATACTCACCAGAGAGAGACAGAGAGACAGAAAGGCAGAGAGAGGGAGGAAGAAAGCAACCCCCATGGGACATGATCATGACACAGTTCACTCTCTTCCTTTTCTCCATCGTGTTGGGATTTGAGGCATGCACACACATATCTGGCATGTTTCTTAAACCACAAAGTCCAGGATTTGAGTTGCATAGTTGGCCATGTGAGATCTGACTCCATTAACTACTAAGTCAAGGAGCAGGTCCTCAACCACCACGCCACCTGCCGGCCCTGAGAATGGTTACTTTTCATACGTTTTCATGCCTTTGAAAAATTTGTACAATGAAATTACTAGGTAGAAGGTTCTATAAATGTCCATTGAATCAAGCTCGTTAATTTGTAGAAAGGTCCTATGTAACCTTTTTCTATATTCTTATTATCTTTTTGTCCTATTGAAGTAACAAATACTAATATCTTCTTCCTGTTGGGTTTTCTCTCAGTTGTCAATTTCTTCTTTAATTCTGTGCATTGGTGGTTCAGATATTTTGAGGCTATCTGATGCATTTGCGATTTTAGAATTGGATTTTATTTGTGAATTGTACCTTTTAGAGTTATGTATGGACCTTTCTTATCTCTAATATAACCTCTTTAGTGATGGTCGTTTTGACTGTAAGTCAATTTAATGTGATATGTACCTTTCTTTGGCTGTTATACAATTGTGTATATTTTTCATCTTTATCATTTTGATTTTTAAAAACTTTCTTCTTTTTTTTAATTACCAGAGGGCAGGCTCAACAGAGATAGAAAAAAAAAAGAGACAGAGAGACAGAACCCCACAATAGGGTATGGTAATATGGCAATCTTTACCCTCCATTTCTCTATCCTATCAGGATTTGAGCACACATGCAAATGCACTTGGCATGTATTGGGATTCTATCTGCAGTTGGCCATGTGGAATCTGGATTTTTATACATAGCATTTAAGCATTGCACTACACAGCTGGCCCTATTTTCACATTTCTGTGTCCTCTTATAGACAGAATATAACTGAATTTATTTAACTGTTTGAAAATCTCAGGTATTTAATTGGCATGTTAGTCTATTATATTGAAGTGTGATTACTGATTTATTTGGATTTCTTTCTATTCTCCAATTTGGTAAAAATTTATTCTGATTTTTCTGTTTCCTTATTTTTTTTTCCTCTTCTTTCAGTTTATTTAAAAATTGTCTTTTCCTCTTCCTCCAGATTGGAAATTACACTATTTCCATTCTTATAGTGGCAAATGTTAAATTCTTAACATGCATGTTAACCTTAAAGTCTAATCTTTGTCTTTCTGTGCTTTTCATGAGAAACACAAAGACAGTTTAACTTCCTCCATATTTCCATATTAGATTCATAGAAATGTGCTTTATTTAGCAAGTCCAACAGATATTAAGTATTCGACTTCACTACTAGTCAAGAATACATGATTTTTCTAGAATAAATCCCAGAAAAAATATTTATCTATTGTAGCAAAAATAAAAGAGAAAACTTTTAAAAAAACATTTAATGTGTTGTTTTATGGGCCTAGATTCTCTCAGTTTGCCCCAGCATTACACACTGTTCAAAAGTTATAACTCACCAAAGAGTATAGGAAAAGCTCAATTTCCTTAAATTCTTTTTGTTATTATGAGTCCCTGGTAAAATCTTGACAAAAAAAAAATGCTGACTAAAATCAGACCATAAATTATCCTACTAAGATGCTCTAAAATGTAAGCAGTACCCAAGATAGCTGCCTTCAGAAATTACACAAGTTATTTTTATCATGCAAAATACAGAGTGAGTATTCTACAAGCTAAATCTTTAGAAAAGACTACTAGTATGGTAATGGACTCTAATTTTGGAATTCTTATTTTGAAGATAATTGAAAAAGTTGCTTGGTTTTTGTAACTTTCTTCAACTCTCAATTTCTTAGTGAGACTCCCTATACCCACCCTAATTACATGGAATTCTACTGTAGTCTATTCTCACCTTCTTTCTTGCTCTACTTTTTTATTATATAGCATTCATCCTTTATAAATTTTTTTAAAATGATAAATAATTAATATTTATTTCTCACAGTTCTGGAGGTTGGGAAGTCCAAGAAAAAATATGGACATATTCAGTGCCTGGTGAGGGTTTCTTGGTTCATATGTTTCCTTTTAACTTTGTCTTCTTATGGTGTAAGGTCTGTGCTAGTCCTCTGGGGTCTCTTTTATAAAGGCACTAACCCTAATAATGAGGGATCTGCTCTCATGACCTAATCACCTCTCATGGTCCTCAGAACCCTCATACAAATAACCTTAAGAACTACGATTTCAACATATGGATTTGGAGGAGCCACAGGCATTCAGCCCATAGCAAATTATTTGTGTGTGTGTTTTTTCCTAATTAACATGTAATGATTATGCATATTTATGGGGTATGATGTGATGTTACAATCATGTACACATTATGTAATGATCAAATCAGGGTAATTAGCATATCAGTTATCACAAATATTTATAATTACTCATCCTTTTTCTTAAAGCATTATTTCATTTTATTTATTTATTATAATTATTATTCTTAACTTGACATAGGGTGTGCATGCCTACCAGAAAAAGATAGAGATAGAGAAAGAGAGAAATTAAGCCATTAGGTCTGGGAATTGATCTGCACTCAGCCATGTGGGAATCTAGCACCTCAACAACCATGCTACCTGCTTGCTCCTCTCATCCCTTCTAATGTACTTTATTATTTATGAATTTATTAAGTTTATTTACTTTTTGTTATCTTCTCCCACTAGATAGCTAAAATCTACCAAGAACTGAAATCTTGGCATGTATTATTTACTAATATATCCCAAATAATTTGAATAATAACCCGTTACATAGTAAGTGCTCAAAAATTACTTGGGCTATGAATTAATTTTAAAATTTTCCCGCTTATAAATTAGGGTGATATTCATGGCCCCTCATAATCTTACTGAGATTCGTGGGTACAAATGAGATATGTGTATGCCAAGTATATTGATTTGTCTGAAAGAAAGCCACCAATCATACAATAATACCAACTGCAAATTTTTGGAAGCATGAAGTGACCTAATCTTGTATTTAAGTGTATCAGAGTTTCCATCTTAAATCCATTATAAGAACATGGTGATTTTGCTTATACAATAGCTCTTCTATAGCGATAGAATATATATAACATGCAGAACTGGCTGAAGATCATACCTCATTTTTTTCTTTGAGTTTTGTGATCATAACAATTACAGGGCTGTCTTCCTGCCAAACCATCTGCCAGAAGTCATTCACAGTGTTAATCATGGGACCCTGTGTGGCAATGAATGCTTTCTCCTTGCCATTGTAGCCCTAGTGAGAATAAGAGACAAAAATATTGACTTTTAAATTCATACCTTAAAGTGAAAGTTTAGGTGAAGATCTTCCAAACAAAATAGCTGTGTAGGTCCATCAACTCTGGCAGCTTCACTGATGCTAGCACTACAGTCCACACAGCTGTTCTTCCAGCAAGTCAAGCATAGTATACAGTATTGAGAGGCATAATAACCAGTCCCTGGCAGAATACCCACATAGAACAGGATAGCCAGGGACTCATAGGCAAAGAAGATTCATTGCAAGGAATCCACTACAATGTTGACTATGACTAAGATAAACAACAACCATTAAAACAGAAACAAAAACAAAAACCCTTGCTTAACCCTTCTACACTGTTGGTGGGAATACAAATTAGAACAGCCACCATGGAGAATAATATGGAGTTTCCTCAGAAACTTAAAAGAAATAGAACTACCATAAAACCCATTAACTTTACTCTTAGGTGTCTACCCAAAGGATAGGAAAACCCTCACTCAGGAAAACACTCACATATCCATGTTTATTGTAGCATTATTCACAATTGCTAGGACATAGAATCAACCCAAAGTCCAAGAACAGATGAGTAGATTGGAAAATGTGGCATATGTACTCTATGGAATACTACCCAGCCATAAAACACAATGAGACATTTGATACAAAGTGAATGAATATGGAAGATATTTTGCTTGGAAGGTATAATAGCAGGGAGGGCAATTGTAGATACTAGAGACAGTATAGGATGAGGTGGATAATTGGGGGTAGGAGGGAGGGGATCAGAGAAAAAAACAAACAAATGAAACGTTTTAGATACACAAAAATGAAAAGGTATCTGTTGATGATAATGTATGTGGCCATGTCTCTGACTTGACTAATATGCACTATATTCATGCTGGGAGAACTATGCTGAGCACTGTAAAGATGTGCAGTGATTAAATGTAAACAACAGCAATAATAATGGCAATAAAAATTAATTTACTCTGGAGGGGGAAAAAACCTAAAACCAACAATCCCAATAGCAAGTCAACATGCTCATGAGAAAAAAGATTTTCATTAATTTACTTACCCTAATATAATTGGCATTAATGTAGGTACTCAATGAATCAGTTGCATTTTTCGGTCTTAAACACACTCTGCTAATGGGATCTAATGAAAGAAACAAGATAGGATACATTAAATGAATTGATTCTTTTCAAAGTTCCTTAGAACACCAAATAACTAAGTACTACATCTGCTAACTTATATATTGAGCATCTGTCATGTATCAGTGTTTGTCTTTGGTGCATGTGTGTTTCCATCCCTTGATCCATCTGTGCCTATTGAGTGACATTTTGGCCCAATTGGAATCCTGTTTCTGACATAAATCTCACTCATAAGCCTGAGATTTTTTTCTCACCCTGTTTCTCATTTATGCTTCTCCTATTCTTTGGATTTGAAATTGGCATCAGATTTCCGCACTCCTGTCTCTCCTTTCTCCTTCGGGGTAAATCAGGCTGCACTCTATCATTTTTTCACATGCCACTACTACATCTTATCCAGACACTTCAGTTTCCTCAGATGGGTAAGACCGATCGTGATGTACCAGACGCCATGCTATTAGTATGAGGCTGGGGGTGGAGCAAGCCAGGAGAAGAAAAAGGCAGCATAGATTAAACATGATTTCTTAGTCGGTTCATAAAATACAAACAACTGTATTCATTGTCTCCTAGACATCAGCCTGTATTCTTAATGCCTTACAGGTATTATGTCTTTTGATCTTTAAAAATCTTTAATGAAAGTACCTAAGATAATAGATTATCATTCTTTCTCCATTTGTCAAACAGGAAACTGAGACAGAGGGGTTAAATGATTTGTCTACACAGCCAGGAAGTAAGCAACGAAGCCAGGCCTTGAACTCTTACTATCTGACTCTAGAGAATCCTTAGCCACTGTGTTATGCTGCTTTCCTCATGCTAAGATAGCTGTATAAACTTGAGCCAGATGATGGTGCAGTGGTAACACAAATGGACTCATAGGAAAGTCCCAGGTTCACATCTCAGAGCCTCCTCGAACATGCTCGGTTTATGATCTAGGCTGGCTGAGGATGAAAGAAAGTGCCATGAAGACCCTGTTGTGGGTACCTGTCTATCTCTCTGTCTGTCTCTCTCATGGAGTAATAAATAAATAAATTTTTAAAAGCATAGCTTCATAAAGTGACAATTACAGTAAAATATGTTATATCCTAGTGGTTGCTTAGTTTCTTTCTCCTCATGTGCGCTCTAATCTACCCTAACCCAACACTGTGTGGGAACTGCTCTTACTAACATCACCACTGATACTTTTGTTGCTAATCTCAATGAGCCTGGTGTGTGTGTGTGTGTGTGTGTGTGTGTGTGTGTGTGTGTTTTCATGTCCCTCTCTGTGACATTCCAAAGTTGTTGACCGTATCTTCTTGTGACTGCCTTTTTAGCCTAAGACCTGAACTTTGCATCTGATTTTCCTGCCTTCAGTTTTGTCCTTTTCCAAACTTTTATTCTCAAAGCTGACCAGGCACTCTTTATAAAACAAAATCTGATCACCTCACTTCCTTGTCTAAAAGCCATCCATGGTTCCTAGTTGCCCATCACAGTTATTGCCCCAGATGTTATCTGTAAATCGTTACCTCCACAGCGCACAGAATTATATAACTTATAAATGAGATAATCTCTTAAAAGGGGGTTCAGTAATCAAACATATATGGGAAACATTGGAGTAAGTAAAGGTGAACCGCACTATTTTCATGGTCTTTATTATGCTAATTACCTTGTGGGTTTCCAGAAAGTTATATATAAACTTATTTTGTCCATTGAACTTATTTTATTATGCTCATTGTATCTGGTATGCTTTTGGACAATTTAGACATCCCGGAGTAGCATACCACATATGCCCAGGAGAACTTTCTGTGAGGATGAAAGTGTTTTTTGTCTGTGCTATCCAAAAATTAGCCCCCAGCCACATGTGGCTATTGGACACTTGAAATATGGCTAGTATGGACTGAAGAGCTGAAGTTTTAGTTGTATTTCATTTGAATTCATTTAAACTTAAATTTATGTAGTGGTTGCTCTACTGGACATGCAGTCCTATAGGATGAAATGCAAGCTTCTTTCTTGGCTACACTTCTTGGCAAAGTATAGCAGCTCGTTTTATTTATTTATTTATTTTTTGAGAGGTTTTTGCTATAGAGCGCATGTGCTCGCCAGAAAGACAGAGAGAGACAGAAAGATAGGAAGTGAGAAATCACCCCTCGAGGGGATGGTCACCCCACAATCCCTTCTCCTCCATTCTCCTATCAGGATCTTGGGCATACACACACAAATGTGCCCGGCGTGAGTTTAAGCCACCGGGTCCGGGACTCGAACCATGGTCAACTATGTGGGAGTCCAGCGACATAGCCATTATGCCAACTGCTGGTCCCAGTATAGCAGCTCTTTAATGACCTTTGCCCAACTCCTCATCAAGAGCCACTTTCCCACGTGCACCATTTGCTCTTGCCCCTTGAACCTAGGGAAATCTCCCAGGTAGTCCATGTTCTTGCAGAGGCTATGCTTCTATACGTGTTATTTCCTCTGACTTTTTCTGCCTAACAATGTCTTCCTCCTTTTTCAATTCAAGAAATATCTTCTTTCTGAAGTCCTCCCTGGCCTTCCTAGGAAGAATTAGGCATTCACTTCTTCACTCAGGCTCCTTGAGGTTTATGTTAATATTTTTTCTTTTGTGTTTTAAGTGTATAAGTTTCTATCTGTTCTCAATGGATTGTGGCAAGCCCCTTGAAGGCAAGAGCTATAGTTAATGACTGTTAGTATCTGTGTGATATCTCTTTGGTATATAGCTCATAGAGAGGTCAATATCTGAATTATTTTCTATTTAAAATATTTAACACACTGCTTTGGACTTTCTATAGGTTTTTCTTGTTTTTAGCAAATGAAACAAGGAAACATTCATTCTCTGTAGTATCCCCTGATTATTAGAAAGGTCCACAAACTCTAAGAAACCACAAAAGTTTTTCTAACCCATTCAGGCTTGAAGAGAGGTCTACTTTCCTCAGTTTTTATTATTTATTTTATTTTTAAAAATTTAAAATTTCATATGTTTAATCACTATATATCACTTTGCTTGTGAGTTGAATTTATCCGACATAATACACTTCACACCAGTCCAGTGAAGAATACAAAACATACTGTCATCAACAGATAATACCCATTTCTGTGTCCCATAAACGTCTTGCCTCTCTATTTTCTTCCTTCATTTCTTTCCTTACACTATCCCCCTTCTCCCACCCTCTTTCCACTTTAGTTTTTATGAGGCTTATGATGCATATAATTTATTGGGAACTCTAGTTTATGCTTAGACACAGGTTCCTGACAAACTGAATTAAGTTTATGTTGGAAAGTAGTAATTTATATTAATTTCCAAGAAGTTAGAAATTTTGAAAAAATAATTTTTTAAAGCAAGAATACAACCCATGACTAAGAGAAAATGTAGGTTTCCAACAAGCCCTTTTTAATATGTTGGGTTAGACTAGTAAAAAAAAAAAAAGATTTAAAAAATGCTCTTATCATCATTTTCAAAACTACTGTTATTATTGTTTTCATGTATTTTAAGTTAACATATTTATCAAATTTCATATGACAATTTTTTCCTGATCAGATATTTCTGAGTTATAAGTTAAATATTTAGCATGCCATTTATGGTATAGCAGGGCTGTATCAATAACAATTACAATCATTTTTTCTTCCTAGATTTTGGATATGCATGCACATGTGCTAAGCATGTTTTTCAAGTCACCTGGTCTGGGACCTGAACTACACAGTTGGCCACATGTGATCTTGTCACTTTAACCACAATGCCACTGGCTGCCGACCCCCTCTCAACATTATTTCACTTAAATATAAATTCGGTGTATAGAATGCATAGAATTTCCCCATTCTGATCTTCCTAAAATAAATTGTAACAATCTTTTTTTTTTTTTTTAAAGAATTATTTACTGGGACCAGCAGTTGGTGTAATGGCTATGTTGCTGGACTCCCATGTAGCCAACTGCAGTTTGAGCCCCAGACCCGGAGGCTTACACTCACGCCAGGCGTGTGTGTGTGCGTGCCTGAGATCCCAAGAAGAGAATGGAGGAGAAGGGATTGCGGGTGTGGCCATCTCTGGGGGGGGGGGGTTGTGATTTCTCGCTTTCTGTCTCTCTGACTCTGTCTTTCTGGCAAGCGCATGCGCCCTATAGCAAAAACCTCTCAACTCAAAAAGAAAAAAAAGAATTATTTACTTAATTTTATTTGTTATTGTTATTTTTAAAATTTGACCAGAGAGAGACAGATAGAGGAAGGGAAAGTGAGAAAGCAAGCTGTCAGGTCCAAAACTTGACCTATGCTTGCCCATGTGGGATTCCAGCACCTTAACCACTGAGCCACCTGCCAGACCCACTTGTGATGATCTTAAATCATTTTTCATCCCGTAGGGCAGGTACACTCGCCAGAGAGGAGAGAGACAGAGAGAGAGAAAATGCAACATCACCCCCAGGAAGGATGGCCACACCACAACCCCCTCTCCGTTATCCCCATCATCCTCTCGGAATTTTGGGCACGCATACACACACACTTGGCATAATTTTCAAGCCACCGGTTCTGGGACTCTAACCACTGTTGGCCAGGAGAGAATCCAGCTGCCTTTACCACCATGCCACCAGCTGGTTCTGACAATCCTAAAACTTCTTAAAAGACAAGTGATATCTGTGTTATGATATTTTGATTGGCATCTTATCAGACTTTACCAAAGACTACTCTGTGCTTAAGATTCCCCTTTCAGGAAGAAATGAGCTTGAAGTTAAGAGAAGCTAGTGGAAGATAGGGGGGATGCCTATCACTGCCAGCTTTAGGCAATGCTGGGGATGAGAATAGGATTGCTTTCATAGATGAGTTTAAGATGAATAGGAAATGTAAGAAAAGACAGGGACTGGTCACACCTTCAAAGTGATCAGGAGTCAATTTCAAATTTGTTGCAGGAGAGAGAAAAGACTCAGGCTTGTATTGTTCAACATGGTAGCCATTAGCCACATATAGCTAATTAATTGTAGTTAATTACAGTACAATTATATTTTAAAGTCAGTCCCTCAGTTGCGTTAGCTGTATTTCAAGTACTCAGTTGCCACTGTGGCTAATGGGTATCACATTGGAGAGAGAGAACATTTCCTTTATTGTGGAGAATTGATCTTGCCAGTGGGGGCTGGGGATTATAAGGAAACTCAATTTTTAAGAACCTTGTGAAAATTATAAAAGGAAATGTGGCGGAGTGCTCTACCTTTAAAATATGAGCTCTTCTCTATGTAGATGATATCTCTGCTTTCTGTGATTCATTCTGGGGTTAACGATGGATCTATTTTCAATTAGTTAAGGAAAGAAAATAGACACTGACAGTAGCTAAAGGCTTATCATTATTCAAAATGTTGCTAGTCATTTTATACACACTATCATTGAATTCTCTCCATAGCTTTGTGGTATGGTATTCTGATGACTTCTTACAAATGAAGAAAGAATGGTACTAAGGAGATTGAGCAGCCTGCTACAATGTAAATATTTTTACTAGAGTAGGAAATAAAATCTAACTACAGTATCTTGCTTTAGGTACACAATTTATTGCTTTAATGAGCGATTCACTTACTTGCATTTCTATTTTGTAGTACCCACTTAATATAATAAAAGAGGGAACATACTTTAAGTGGGAGAGATTACTAGACTTTACTTTTTATTAAGATGGTGTTTCGCTATGTTTTGATTTTCCTGCCTCAGCCTCCTAGTCGCTGAGACACATGCATATACCACCACTTTTGGCTTTTAAGGTGGCCTGGAATTGGGCCTCCCATGTGACCTCAGCCTGCTGAGTAGGAGCATCAAGTGTGTGTCACCTTGCTTGGGCCACTATTACAATGTACAGTAATGGCCAGAGTAAATTGGGTTCTTTAATTTTGTCTACATGGCTTTATATTGTATAAATAAGTTGATTGCATGGAAGAAATATACATAAAATGTATTATTATTATACTTCGGTGTGTGTTAATAAATTTCATATTAATTATTTTTCTTCACTGCTTTTGTGATTTAATATTGGACATATTTTTACCAGTTATATTTGTTTATATTACAAAACAATTTGATTTAAACTTGACCTTAGCGCTTCAATCTACCATTTAGAGTGTTCTGAACCAAGCTGACATCGTCCTCTAGAAATAGCCGTCATTTGTGTTGAGCCTTCCATATACGTCCTGCAAAGTATCTTCCAAATTACATAAGCTTATTTTTATGTACAAGCTGGAAAGCCTTTAAATGTAAGAGGAGTTTATGGTAGGGTGTACCAATAAAATCAATCATAATATTTGAAATCTTGGTAATTATTTATTGAAAATAAGCCATAAAAACCAGTTTTGCCTATTTATTCCAGTCTTTTCTGATAATTTTCAATTATTGAGGTGGCTGGTTCAACCTATATTTCTGAATTCTATTTTATGCACCAAGAGGTGGGTGGGGTCATCTGGCCACAGACATTTGCAATAGAAAATCCATCATTTGCAACATCAGTTGTCAGCACAGGTGCCTTGGTTCAAGTGGTCCACCCAGTTCTGGGAATGGAAAAGCTGACTCAGGGTTCTGAAGCAGTTGTATGACATCATCTAGGCAGGAAATACAGAGGATTGAACTTAGAAATAATTGTAATGATTGATAAATCCTTCTGAAATTAGATGATGGTTTGAGTGCACATAATAACGGCACTGGCTGCATAAGCCCTGATTACTTATGTTTTCTATATTTTAGATGAAAACTTAAACAGAGAAAGAGAGTGAGAGAGAAAAAGGAGAGACAGAATCCTAACTTTAACACAGAGCACTTTCATTTCCTTCAGCCAATGGTAACCATAAAAATCTTTTTTATTTTTAAGAGAGATTTTTGCTACAGGATGCCCGCACTTATCAGAGAGACAGAGACAGGCAGAAAGCAAGAAATCAACCCCCTGGGGTGGGGATGGCCATACCACAATCCTTTTTCCTCCATTCTCCTCTCAGGATTTTAGGCATGGATGCACACGATGCACACGTGCCTGGCGTGAGTTTTAAACCGACAGGTCCAGATTCAAACCACAGCAAGCACATGGGAGTCCAGAGATGTAACTGCTATGTCATCTGCTGGTCCCGATAAAATACTTTTTAACACTGGCTATATCTTAGTTAATTAGACTTAATTATATAGATGAGTTAAAAGTATATTACAGTGGAGAGACTTGTAAAATGCATTTTTAATTCTACCAAGAGAAAAAGTTCAAATTGCTATTAATGGTAATTCATTAATTATTTAGTTTCATTTTATTATTAAAAAAATTTGTCAGATGGTACATGCACTCATCAAAGTGAGCAAGTACTCCCCATTGGGCTTTGTCATGTTGCCATCCCTTCCCCTCCATCTTTTCCTTCTTTTTTTTTTTGAGAGAGAATTTTGCTATAGGGCACATGCACTTGCCAGAGGGACAGAGCACAGAAAGAAATCACCTCTCATGGGGGATGGCCATGCTGCAATCCCTTCTCCTCCACTCTCCCCTCAGGATTTTGGGCATGCACGCACACATGCCCGGTGTGAATTTCAAGTCACTAGGTCTGGGACTTGAACCATGGTCGACCATGTGAGAGTCCATTGATTTAACCACTATGCCATCTGCTGGTTCTGGTCTCTGGATTTTTAACAAGGACTCTAGATGGTTGTTACGCACAGTAAAAATATTTGGTTATAGTTGTACTGAGATATTATTCATATACCGTACATTTACCTATTTAGTGTGCCATTATAGAGGTTTTTTTTTTTAAATTCAGTTGTACAATAATCATCATCAATTTTATAACATTTCATTATCTCCAAAATAAATAAAGACTTTAAAACACTTTAGCACTCACTTCCCTATTTCCACTAACATTAGGCAACCACTGATGTACTTCTGTCCTACAGAATTGCCCATATGGACTTTTCATTTACATGGAATTATAAAATATGAGGTCTTTAGTGACTGACTTCTTTCATTTAGCAAAATGTTTTCCAGGTTCATTCATATCGTAGCATGCATCAGTACCTCATTCCTCTTTATTAATTCCATTATGTGGATATTCAACATTTGATTTATCCAGTCACGAGTTAATAGGTATTTGTGTTGTTTCCACTTTGGGGTTACATGAATAATTCCGTTATGAATAATCTGTGTAAAATTTTATGGTTCACTTGATTCACTTCTTCTGGGTATACTTAGAAGTGGAATATCTGGGTTATAAAGTCTTGGTTTTACCTTTTGAGGAACTGTGAGACTGCTTTCCTTAGTAGCTATATCATTTAACATCTGTACCAGAAATGCATAAAGTGTCCAGTTTTTCTACATCCTTGCTAACATTTATGATGGTCTATCTTTTTTTTTTTTATTATAGCTTCCCTAGTGGACAAAAAGTGATATCTTGTGATTTTGATTTCTCTGATGGCTAATGATGCCAAGTATTTTTTCATATGCTTATTAGCCATTTGTATTTCTTCTGTAGAGAAATGTCTATTGAAGTTCCTTGCCCATTTGTATTTTTATTATTGTGTTCTAAGAGTTCTTTTTATATTCTAGATCAACTTGCAAATATTTTGTCTCATTTCGTTGTCTTAAGGTTGTCTTTTCACTTTCTTCACTTCTCATTTTCCTTGAAGCACAAAACTTTATAATTTTGATAAATTGTTGTCTATTTTTTGGCTACTTGTGCTTTTGGTGTTGCATCTAATAAACCATCAACTAATTTATGGTCACAAAGATTTGCATCTGTTTTTTCCCAAGATTTTATAGTTTTAGCTCTTGCATGTAGATCCTCTGATTCATTTTGAATTAATTTTTATACATGGCGTGAGGCAGGATCTCCAACTTTATTTCTTTGCTTGCAGATATACAGTTGACTCAGCTCCACTTGTAGAAAAGATTATCTCTTTTTTCCCATTAAATTATTGGACATCCTTAACAAAAATAAATTGACCATCTTATAAGGCACAATAAGTTTTAGAAGCACGTGTCTGTTGGAATTGTGAGCTGATCAGTATAATGAGTAAAACAAGATAAAATTATTAACCTCAGACCACTTTAATGCTTTTAGTATTGACATAAATTTGTAACTCCAAATAAAGTGTGTATATATGCATTGTAAAGATGGGAAATGGAGTAAATGGGAAAGGCTTATGCTTTGCAATACAAATTTTAATTCCAGAAACTTACTTGGCAAAATAGTTTTATAGCGGTTTTTAGTTCCATGACGTGGAATGTCAATTTCTTTGGGATCCACAAAGTTCATTGGTATTTCCTGAAAAAAAAAAAAAGATATGAAATTAAGTGTATCTAATACTGCCACAAAGAAAAGCTTCACAGGGGACCATCTGATATGGAGCTCTATTAGACTTCAAAGTCATTTAAAAACAGACTACCACCTCTAGTTCACCAACACCCTTCCCTTCATAAACATTATCAGTTGTACTCTGGCAAGTTGACTTCTAAGAAACAGTGCTCACATAAATTTGTAACTCCAAATAAAGTGTGTATATATGCATTGTAAAGATGGGAAATGGAGTAAATGGGAAAGGCTTATGCTTTGCAATACAAATTTTAATTCCAGAAACTTACTTGGCAAAATAGTTTTATAGCGGTTTTTAGTTCCATGACGTGGAATGTCAATTTCTTTGGGATCCACAAAGTTCATTGGTATTTCCTGAAAAAAAAAAAAAGATATGAAATTAAGTGTATCTAATACTGCCACAAAGAAAAGCTTCACAGGGGACCATCTGATATGGAGCTCTATTAGACTTCAAAGTCATTTAAAAACAGACTACCACCTCTAGTTCACCAACACCCTTCCCTTCATAAACATTATCAGTTGTACTCTGGCAAGTTGACTTCTAAGAAACAGTGCTCAGTATTAGAAAGTATTATTTTATATGTAGTCATTAAAGAGACATTTAACACTCTGGTTAGATTTTTAAATTTCCATTGTGATATAAGTGCTATAATTATAGACATGTGGCTAAAAATAGATTTTTAAAACAATGTATTCCAATCTCTTCAAATCTTGCTGTTAACTTCAGTTCCAAAATTTTCTCTGTTATGGTTCTCTTTTAAAATGAGTTGTGACTCTTGGGACCAGCAGTTAGCCTAATGGCTATGTCGCTAGACACCCATGTGGTCAACCATATGGATTCAAGTCCAGGACCTGGTGGCTTAAATTCATACCAGGTGCATGTGTGTGCATGCCCAGGATCCCAAGAGGAGAATAGAGGAGAAAGGATTGTGGCATGGCCATCCCGCCTTGGGGGGGATTTCTCACTTTCTGTCTCTCTGTCTCTCTCTGTCTTTCTGGTGCCCTATAGTAAAAACCTCTCCAAAAAAAAAAAAAAAAGAGAGGAAAAAAAGGAGTTGTGACTCTTTTGGGATTATTAATTCCTCCCTTTCTTAATGGATGGTAAATATAAAGGCATTTTTGTTGACTGAAGTGATGATGATTCTCTTTTTGTACTAAGAAACACTTATCATTAGATTGTTTCATTAGTGATTGTAAATGCATCATGTTCAGTGAAAGGCATTCAGATACTTTTTCTCCCACTTAGTGAGAACACAGATATTTTTATTCAGTGAGAATATGTTATGTGCCTCAAATGACTGCAGAGGGAATAAATAGAGAAGTAACTCTAGTAAATGCAGTAGACTAAAATGGCAAGTGTCTGTAACTTACTGGGATCAAGAAATCAAGAGGCCTAAAGGGTCTAAACAAATATTTGAAGGTTGATTACATAAAGCAGTATGTTCTGTAACTTGAAATTCTGCAAAGAGTTCCTTAGCTAAGGTTAATATGAAATAACAACATAACTTTTATGTTATTTGATGATGGATAAGTATTAAATCCTTAGATCACATAAAATAATATTTTTATTACTTAAACTCTCCCATGGAAAAATTAACAGCCTAATAGTCATTGAAATGAAAGAAATCATCCATAAATGAATTCAAATTGTCCTGGTTTTAGTCGATCTAAACCAGGTTGTGCTATAAATTTGAGACTTAATCTACAAAGATGAGCTACTTACTTTTTATATATCCTATCATAAACTTATGCTAGGTATTTATGATAATCATTGCTACTTTTTGCTCTAAGTGTTTTACCCTTTTGCATCCAAGTTATGAAAATAAGCAAAATTGTTGAGTGTGCAATAGAAAACATATGTTCTTGTTTGATCATTTCAAACGGGTCAGTCTGTTTTGGCAAAGCTATGAAGTAGGTAATGCCATGATTCTTTTCCTTCTTCTTACCTCCTGTTGTCTGACTCACACTGAAAATCCATTGTCTTCCAGCAATCTCTCTCTCCTGGGTATCCCTGTTGGCCTCACCATTCTTCCCAGGGAACAGGCTATGTCAAGGGCTTATTTTATACACAAAGATCTATCTGTAGTTCTAGAAAACAATACCAGGTGTGCCTTTGGCTAGCTGTGTATCCTTTGACTGGTTCTTCCATCCTTTAGGTTTCATATTCGTCACACATGAAAAGACGATTAGCTGCAAAGTCTGATTGTGGAAACTCCATATTTGTGTTCTATTTTAGACTTTTAATCATTGATGCAGTTAATAGTATATTAATTTCACCAGTAGGGTAGTTACAGATATCTGAATGATCAATTTGTTATACTCAACTGCTATGGCTTCAGATGTACAACTGATTTAAGACACAAAGAGATCTCTGAAATGACTATTCTTCTAGGCAAAAATCAGAGTAAGAAGCTCTAAGATGACTCTAAGATGTTCCATAGGTAGATATATGTTGTCATGCATTAAAGCCATCACCAGCAATGTAGATAGGTCTGAAACTGAACTCACTCTCATTTTTAGCCCACATTTAGTCTTCCTCTTGTGTCAGTTAATTAAAGGGCACCATCAGCACCCTGTAAGAAAAGCTTCACAGGGGACCATCTGATATGGAGCTCTATTAGACTTCAAAGTCATTTAAAAACAGACTACCACCTCTAGTTCACCAACACCCTTCCCTTCATAAACATTATCAGTTGTACTCTGGCAAGTTGACTTCTAAGAAACAGTGCTCAGTATTAGAAAGTATTATTTTATATGTAGTCATTAAAGAGACATTTAACACTCTGGTTAGATTTTTAAATTTCCATTGTGATATAATTGCTATAATTATAGACATGTGGCTAAAAATAGATTTTTAAAACAATGTATTCCAATCTCTTCAAATCTTCCTGTTAACTTCAGTTCCAAAATTTTCTCTGTTATGGTTCTCTTTTAAAATGAGTTGTGACTCTTGGGACCAGCAGTTAGCCTAATGGCTATGTCGCTAGACACCCATGTGGTCAACCATATGGATTCAAGTCCAGGACCTGGTGGCTTAAATTCATACCAGGTGCATGTGTGTGCATGCCCAGGATCCCAAGAGGAGAATAGAGGAGAAAGGATTGTGGCATGGCCATCCCGCCTTGGGGGGGATTTCTCACTTTCTGTCTCTCTGTCTCTCTCTGTCTTTCTGGCGCCCTATAGTAAAAACCTCTCCAAAAAAAAAAAAAAGAGAGAGGAAAAAAAGGAGTTGTGACTCTTTTGGGATTATTAATTCCTCCCTTTCTTAATGGATGGTAAATATAAAGGCATTTTTGTTGACTGAAGTGATGATGATTCTCTTTTTGTACTAAGAAACACTTATCATTAGATTGTTTCATTAGTGATTGTAAATGCATCATGTTCAGTGAAAGGCATTCAGATACTTTTTCTCCCACTTAGTGAGAACACAGATATTTTTATTCAGTGAGAATATGTTATGTGCCTCAAATGACTGCAGAGGGAATAAATAGAGAAGTAACTCTAGTAAATGCAGTAGACTAAAATGGCAAGTGTCTGTAACTTACTGGGATCAAGAAATCAAGAGGCCTAAAGGGTCTAAACAAATATTTGAAGGTTGATTACATAAAGCAGTATGTTCTGTAACTTGAAATTCTGCAAAGAGTTCCTTAGCTAAGGTTAATATGAAATAACAACATAACTTTTATGTTATTTGATGATGGATAAGTATTAAATCCTTAGATCACATAAAATAATATTTTTATTACTTAAACTCTCCCATGGAAAAATTAACAGCCTAATAGTCATTGAAATGAAAGAAATCATCCATAAATGAATTCAAATTGTCCTGGTTTTAGTCGATCTAAACCAGGTTGTGCTATAAATTTGAGACTTAATCTACAAAGATGAGCTACTTACTTTTTATATATCCTATCATAAACTTATGCTAGGTATTTATGATAATCATTGCTACTTTTTGCTCTAAGTGTTTTACCCTTTTGCATCCAAGTTATGAAAATAAGCAAAATTGTTGAGTGTGCAATAGAAAACATATGTTCTTGTTTGATCATTTCAAACGGGTCAGTCTGTTTTGGCAAAGCTATGAAGTAGGTAATGCCATGATTCTTTTCCTTCTTCTTACCTCCTGTTGTCTGACTCACACTGAAAATCCATTGTCTTCCAGCAATCTCTCTCTCCTGGGTATCCCTGTTGGCCTCACCATTCTTCCCAGGGAACAGGCTATGTCAAGGGCTTATTTTATACACAAAGATCTATCTGTAGTTCTAGAAAACAATACCAGGTGTGCCTTTGGCTAGCTGTGTATCCTTTGACTGGTTCTTCCATCCTTTAGGTTTCATATTCGTCACACATGAAAAGACGATTAGCTGCAAAGTCTGATTGTGGAAACTCCATATTTGTGTTCTATTTTAGACTTTTAATCATTGATGCAGTTAATAGTATATTAATTTCACCAGTAGGGTAGTTACAGATATCTGAATGATCAATTTGTTATACTCAACTGCTATGGCTTCAGATGTACAACTGATTTAAGACACAAAGAGATCTCTGAAATGACTATTCTTCTAGGCAAAAATCAGAGTAAGAAGCTCTAAGATGACTCTAAGATGTTCCATAGGTAGATATATGTTGTCATGCATTAAAGCCATCACCAGCAATGTAGATAGGTCTGAAACTGAACTCACTCTCATTTTTAGCCCACATTTAGTCTTCCTCTTGTGTCAGTTAATTAAAGGGCACCATCAGCACCCTGTTCTTCAAGACAAAAAAGTAGGCATTATCCCTAACATTTCCATTACTTTTGGCAGCTTCCTCCAATTAAGTCCACATCTTGTAGTTTCTCACCATTCTTTCTTCCACTGCCTTAGATTAGGTAGGACTGCCATCACAGTTCCCTAGGATAATTTCTTGTAGATCTTCCAAACTGGTCCCTTCTACAGTCTACCCTACTGCAAATAATCTTTCTAAAACACAAGATAAAGGTCAAACTCTTAAATATATATTGAACTGGGGTTTCTTTTATACTTTCGAGGCTCATCCTTTGCCCCTTCTCACCTTGATTTCAAAGCTCCAGTTAAATGAAGCAATTTATTTCCCCAAACAGTGATAGCAGGAGACTGTCTCGTCTCCACCCAACTCCTTCATATCAACTCCTTCATACTTTGCCTGGCCCACTTTTGCATACTTGCTTCAGTTTAGTTATTACATTATAGTTTGAATGCTTATCAATAGTTGATGATAAAGAGGGTGAATCTAAAACCAGTGCACTTTACTTTTGAACTACAGCTTACTGTAAGCTGCATGCGTGTAGGGCAGTGTCATTTCCATAAGTGTTCTGGTGCCTGAGGTATCAAAATACCTACTAAAGAGTAGATAATAAATAGCAGGCTCACCATGAATTCACTTTGGAGTAAATGTGAACTTGCCACGACGTCCCTCAACTGTGACCTTGTGAGAATTCGACTGGCTGACTGCAGGTATTCCATGGCTACCTTCTCTCGTGGGGTTGGTATAGCCACAAAGGGTTCAATAGTCCCCAAGCTACTCATGTCCAATGTGAGAGATACATTGGACCCTCGTCTACATTGGAGAAACATGTTATTAGGTTTATACATCACATGCATTATATTGATCACACAGATTTATATTTCTATACATGCACACAATTCAATAAGAACTTTTACAGAAATAAGAACCAAATAGATTTTTTTCTTTTAATACCATGGTTGACTATAGCAATAGTTTCTTTACAGGACAGTGACTTTATTTTTGTTGTTAGAAATAACTCAGAATTGAGAAAATGCACAATTTTTTTTCAGAGATTTTCACTGTAGGGTGTATGCACTTGCAAAGGAGACAGAGACAGAGACAGTAAGTGAGAATCACCCCCTAGGAGGATGACCACGCTGTAATCCCTTCCCCTCCATTCTTCTCTTGGGATCCTGGGCATGCATGCACATGCACCCAGTGTGTTTTAAGCTGCTGGGTCCAAGACTCAAACTGTGATTGACTATGTGGGAGTTCAATGACATAACCATTATGCCATGTGCTGGTCCTGTACTATAACTTATTAATGGGAATACTTGTTAGAGAAATAATAGGATGTCTAAAAATATCAAGTGAAAAATTTAGGAAAAGTAAATACATTTGAACTGAGAAATCAGAAGTAATACAAATCAACTTTTATTTATATGTATTTCTGAGAGTCTAGTATACAAATCATATAGTCATCAGATGTTTTGACATTAATACACAGTAGTCATAATTTTATTGTATGCTAGAAGTTCAGAGAAAAATAAAATGTCAAGTGTTTTGATCACAAAAAATGTGGTAAATCTGTGAGGTAATGTGCTTAATAATTCACTTGATTTAGCCAGTCCACAATATACACACTCAGAGGGGTCTTCAAAAAGCTCATGGAAAACATGTATTATGATAAAACAATGTATGGATTTAGAAAACATTTTTGCACCAAAATAAACCATACTTTAATTCCATTTTTTCACAAACTTTTTAAAGTATCTTTGTATTTTAAGACATGCTATACACCATAAATATATATACAATTTTGCTTGTCAAATAATAATAATAAATTAAAAATAAACTTTAGTTCAAACGATTGCCACTGAAATAGAATTTGACAGTTTAAAAATATATCTAAAAAATATTCCAAGTGAATTCCTAAAAAACAGCTTTTCAATTCTCCATTGATGTGTATCTACATGTATGTACATATATGTAGATATATATATATGTAGATATAGCTATAATATTTATTGATAAACTTATAAGGCACCAGAGAAATCATAGACTCTTAATCTGAATTACAATATATCTTCCCTTTGTAATTTTCCTCCTTTCCTTGAGAGGCAAGGTGGGATTCCTCTTGCCTCTTGGGTAGATGAAATGAGTGCCTGTTACCAGTAATATTAGGTTGGTAGGACATAGCTCTAAAATAGCTTGTGATGAACAATGATGGCAAGATAGTTCTTAGAAAATAACACGTAAAGAGATTGCTGATCAAAGCCAGAGATTATGTTCACGAGAATTGTTAAAGAGGCCACAGGTATGTGTCAGGACATCAAATATTGTACCAAATGGTTGGCAGCCCAAAGAAGAGAAGAGCAGGGAAAAAGAGGTCAAAACAGGTGAGAGTGAAGACAGTGAGTAGACACTAGACCCAGCAAGTTATTTCCCCCGAAATGTGTTTTACACATTTATAACATACTGCTGCATCAGGAAATAGTCAAATAGCTAAAGCCTAATCTTAAACGAAGGAAAATGATTAGCATATACAATAGCAACAATGAACATTAATCAAAAATCTATCGGTTCTTTACTGAATCTGCCTGTGGTCGCAGCTTTGGTTCCATTCTAAAGTTTGATATGAAATATCATTCTTAATTTCTGAATGGTTCATAACTGTATTTTTTTTTTTTTTTGGAGAGATTTTCACTATAGGGCTCGTGCGCTCGCCAGACAAAGAGAGACATTAGAGACAGAAAGCGAGAAATCACCCCCCAGGGGGGATGGTCACACCGCAATCCCTTCTCCTCCATTCTCCTCTCGGGATCTTGGACACGCACGCACATGCGCCCGGCGTGAGTTTTAAGCCACTGGGTCCGGGATACGAACCGCGGTCGACTACGTGGGAGTTCAGCGACATAGCCAATACGCTAACTGCTGGTTCCCTCATAACTGTATTTTTAAAAAATTAAAAGAAAAAACTTGCCAGAGGGCATGGGCGTTTGACAGAGACACAGAGAGAGAGAAAAAGGGAGAAAGCACCCCTGATGTGGTCATGGTCATGGTCATGGTCATGCCACAGCCCCTTCTCCGTTTCTCCTTCTTGGGACTTTGGGCATACTTGCATATATACCTGGCATATATAAGCCTCTGAGTCTGGGACTGGAACAGTGGGATCCAGTGGCCTTTACCACCATGTCACAGGGTAGCCCTGTAATTGTATTTTTAATTTGACCTTAACTTGCTGGTCATTTAAGTGTGTAAACATTTATTTTCCTTGTTAAGTTTCAGTTATAATACATGGAAATCAGAAAATGACTGGATTTCCAATGGCTGAAATTTCTTAATTCAATTTTGAGAAAAACACTATGATACATTTAAAAAAAACATTTTGCAGATGCTTTTGCTAGCAAAAGTTTGATTATGTATGTATATATGTATCTCTCTATTTGCACATTTATATTACCTTATTTATCATACTGGTATATATTATTAAAGAGAGTCCAATCTATTCTTACCTTACTTTTTTCATACTGGGTTTGTCTAAGTCTGATGATATATATGTGAAATTTCCATAATAACCATATTTACTATTTTTCTTAATTGACAGTGTGTACCCTATATATATATGTCAACCACTGTGTTACCTGAAGAGATTCATAATGACATTTTTTACTGTGAACTTTAGCAATATTACTTTCTCGTTAATTTTATATTTAGCCTCACATCTGACTTTTTAAAAAATTGATATTGCCATACTTAATTTTTGGGGAGTATGTTGCATGTTCCTGAAAACCTTTTCTCATACTATTATTATACTTCCTTCTTCAGATCCCTGAGTTAGGGATTAGGAGAGAGTGCTCTGGATGCCTCATAGAATGTGTTTCTGAGTAGGGGGAAAACAGGCGAAGAGGAGCAAAGAATGATTCTACTTTTAGATCAAGAATTTTAATTTATTTTGGGTGAAATGTAGTTTTTAAAATTTTCAATCCACTTCTCCAGGCCTTTAAATTAGTAGAAAATCCTTCCTGGTTTTGATAATGGTTTGTCTATTGGTCTAAATTTTTACTGCAATTGTGAAAATTTGACTTTTGCTGGTTTCATAGATATCTTCGTAAGCAGTTGTGAAAGCTGAGGAACTAGTACTCATGGTACACTATACCATGACTTCATTTAGTCAATTCAGTCCCAAGTCTGCAGTCCTGGAGTGATACCCATTTCTGTAGTGGTTTAGCAGATGGCGAGGCCTCTTATTTTAGGATTGTCAGAGCGGATGAATGAAGGAGTCATTTGAGTTGGGTCTTGAAGGTAAAAATTCAATAGGTAAATTTTCGGTAGAGGATTATTTTTGAGAGACATTCTGGCAGGAGAAAAAGTGTGGGAGCAGAACGTGTTAAGACAACTTTGAGAAATGGCATAAAAGCCGTTTGAACCAGAGTTCAGTTGTGTAAATGTATTTTTAAACTGGTGGTCAGGGTTATTTAGGAAAGATGAGAGAGGCAAGAGTTATATAAATTGCAAGACTATGAAAAGCCTGTACAAATCCAGGAGAGAGTGGAACAACACATACCCTAGAACATCAGGGTATATGAGCTTCTGTTTTGGCTTCCCATACCACGCCCTGCCCAGAGATTAAAAGCATCTGAAATCCCATGTTCAAGTTCTGCGTCAAGTTCTATTTGACTTAGTAAGTAAATTTTCTAAGGATTCTGTGGTAAGCTGAGAGCCATGGAGATATTTTCATGTAAACTGACCTGATAAGGAAGAATGGCTTTGTCTGGGAAGGGAAGGAAGAAAGGAAACTAATATTTGTTAAATATCTATTATCTGCCAAGCAGTGTTCTAAGCACTTTCACATATGGTGTTTCAACATTCGTAACAGCATCCTGAGATATTACTTTCCCCTGTTTTGTAGGCAAAGAAATAACTAATCCAACCAATCCAAGCTCGAATATAAAACCAAGCTCTTTCTGCTTTGCCGCTGAAAAGCAAGGATACAGTGGGCAAAATAATATTTGACTATATTTATATGTGTACTCTGTGGAACTGGAACTGAGTTGCCAAGGGGAAGGTCTAAGATTACTGAAGTGTAATGTGGAGGCACTATAGTATTCAGGGTATAATTTTTTTAGAGTTTATTTGTTCCTTCCATGAGTGAGATATATATATATACTACAATCAAGCACCATCCTCATCCAGTCCCTGACCACGGGCACTCGTGTTTCCAGTGTACTCAGGGAGCTCTCCGGGATGTGAACCTGAAATCTTCCCATGTAGGTCAGCATCAGAGTGCATCAGAGTTTACCACTGCATCATAGACTGGCCCCCTGGGGTACACATTTGACCTCTACACTCTTGGCTGAGTTAAAATTTCACTCAGGTCTTTGCCATGGACCTTTGGTTAGGTCAGGCTATTTAGTTTCATTGCATTTCAATTTTCTACTCTTTAGTAAAATAAATCATTAAATGTGCCTCATAATTAAATGTACCTACCTCAGAGGGTTATTAAAAGGTTAACCAGATACTATAAATAAACTGCTCATACAAAGCAATGCTTGGATATTATTCTATTTGGATAACAAAGGACAAAGTCTTAGTTAGCTCTAAACTGTTGCCTTTCTAAAGGATCTAATTTAGAATATTTTTCACAAAACTTATTTATCTTAAGATTAATTTTAATAGTTTGAAATCAATCAGTAGAATCTACACTTTTTTTTTTGCTCATGAAAAATACATCCTTCTTGATAACCTATTTATCTTAAAGTTTCCCTTTATTATGGCAAATCCATTTCCTCTGAACCCTAAACAATTCCAGAGCACTTCACCTCAACATC